CATGCTTTAAAAATGTGGAATTTTTAGTAAATCTCTGAGAAACTTGAGAATGCTATGAAAGTAAATATATTTAAGAAAAGAGACATTTCATATCAAAATAAAGCTGTACATATGAGCTTGTTTGTTCCTGCGAATCTTGGTTCTATCTAATACTACCACCCACTATTTACAGTGTCAGATTAACATTCATTGCATCCAATTCTGCAAAAATTTTTATATAGAAACAAATAAAGCTTTCTTTTGTGATTCTTCTAATTTCTCTCTGTCTCTGTGATCTTGCATCCTTTCTTATATTTAATGCCATAAATTTATGTTGTCTTTTTTTGTTTCTTTTATACATTTTTTCCTAAGAAAAAATTCTTGGGTCCATTTGCTTATTCATTAACTTTATTTATTTATTTATTTATTTATTTAATATTTATTTATTTATTTATTTATATTTATTTTAAATTTGTTGCTTTAATTTTTTCCAACTATTTTCTATATTTTGTTTTTTTTAGTATTATTTTACTGTTCATTTCTTTATCTTTTTATTTTAACGAATGAGTTATTTTAGTTATCTTTTATTTAGAAACTTACTATTTAAAGCTATAAATTTTCTTCCATGTACTAACTGATAAATGGACAAACAAGATGTGATATAGCCATACAATGGAATACTATTCAGCCACAAAATGGAATGACGTATAGATACATGTAACAACATGGATAAACCTTGAAAAGCACCATGTGTTATTTATTATGTTTTTATAAATTGTTTGCATTAAATAATGCATATATATAGGCTTAAATTCTGATAGCGCTGTAAATATTAATAGTTTTTTGATATTGAGCGATTTGACTGTTTTGTTCCTTTGAACCAAGGATTGCTTAGAGGAGAGTTTTCAGAAAATGTTGGTGGTTTGATATGTTTATAGTCTATTTGCACTATTGATTTATAAATTTTTACATTGTTATTAGAGAGCTCAGAGACTATAGGATAATTTGTAGGGTATGTTGAAGTCTTTTTAGCAAAAAATGGCCTAATGAAAGTAATGTTCCTTGGGCATCTAAAAAGAAGGTATGTGTTATAGTTTCATGATTTAGAATTTGATATATTCATTAGATATAACATGTTATTCAGGTATTTTAGATTTGAAATAGTATAATTTATATTTTTATACTTAATTTTTGATGACTGGGAGAACATTGAGTAAACACATCATATTGGTTCTGTATTTCCATTTCTCTCATAGTTCCGCTTCATAAATGTTTATGTTTTATTGCATGAATATTTATGACAACCCTGCATGTAGATAGTGGCTTCTATCATTATTAAGTTAAATTCTTGCTTTCACTTATTGCTTTGTGCTTTGCTTTCAACTAGGACTAATATTAATAGTTGACTCCTAAATTTTCCTTGTTCTCATTTGCTTGTTTGTTACACATCACTTTTTTTTTAAAGAATGTTGAGTCCTATTTGTGTCTCTTGTTTATAGCATGCGAGTGGATTTTATGTTTTATACAATTGAGAAATATTTTTTAAAGATGAGATTATCTTATTAACATTTATTGATATGAGAGTTATATTTGGTGTATTCACTTTGGTTTAACCTATATTTTCAGTTTGTTTTCTACAATTTGGTACATATTTTGTTTTTTCTTTGCTTTTGTGCTTGTATTCTTTCCGAGAGTCTGGAAAGTTTATGCTCTGTTTTCAGTTTTGTTGTTAATAGTGTGGTTCTGTTTTTGTTTTGTTGCCATTGTTTTTTCTGATAACTTTTAGTGATATTCTTAACCTTGTGTATGTGCACTATATCAGCATAAAAATCATAAATTTAATATGAGTGTAAAGCTTTATATTATATTATATAAATATACACTTTATATAATATGTAATTTATATCACACAAAATATGTAATATGTAAGATATTATCTATTTTTTAGATTATGGTAAACTGCACATAAAAATTAACATTTAAAGTACACAATTTAATGGCATTTAGTGTGTTCATAATGTTGTGCAACCCTTACCATTATTTAGGTTCAGAACATTTCATCATCCCAAAAGGAAATCTCTCATGTATTAAACAGTTGCTACTCATTTTACCCTGCTCCCAGCACCTAGCAACTGCTAATCTGCTTTTTGTCTCTAGTGATTTGCCTATTCTTAGATAGTTCATGTAAATGGAATCATACAATAAGTAGCCTTTTTTGTCTGGCTTTTTAAATTGAATATATGATCTCCAGCAATTCCACTCCTAGATGTGTATATGCATGTTCATAACACGATTATTCACAAAAGCGAAAAGAGGAAAACAACACAAATTCCCATCAACTGATAAATGGACAAAATATGATATATTCATACAATGGAATATTATTCAGCCATAAAATGAAATAAAGATATTATAATATGAATCAACTTTGAAAAATTTTGTTATTTATTGTTATTGCAAATTATTTGCATATTAATAGAAATTGTATATCTCTATCTGAGAGACTGGCTTTTGTGTTCCAAAAGCCTAAAGCATTAGAAGAAATTATTAAGAAAGGCAGAAAATGTTCTCCTCACTCTCCCACCCTGCCTCCAGACTAGAAACTATTTCTCCCAAGAGTTGCAAATTGATGAAGCTGAGAGTGAAGAGTTTGCGCTACCTAGAGAAAGGGGCTCTGTGCCCTCTTCTTTTGCCTTGCTCTGCCTTGCTCCTTCTCCTGGGCAGATAGCAAGACCCAGGAGCTTTGGAGGCAGCAAGAACAGAAAGAATGTTCTCCCATATTCCATGGAGAGTTGAGGAAAGTGGTTAACTGCCAAGAGGGCATGCTGCATGGTGCATCTCAGCAATGGCTGGTCTGACCACAACTTCTAGGACCCAGAGTGGCCCAGAAGCAATGACATCATAACCACGTCCTTAGATATCACTTGAAAATATCAGAGAGAGCCAGAAGGGAGTGTGCAAATGGTGCAGGAGCCACCCTTGCAACAGCAATCTGTGTATACCTATGGCTGAAGATCTCTGAGGCACAGACATAGTAATTTCCTCTGTGTATGTGTAAATCCAATTCTAGATGGCTTCTCTTAGACAAAATGCACTTATCTTTTTGGTACTGTACATAGATCTGGAACTTGGACATAGCCTAAGGGAAAGTTTGAGGAAAATCAGAATCAATAAGATTAATTTTCTACCACTTCATTGGGTAGAGAAAAAATAATAAATTTTTATCAACTGGGTTTATATACTTATACTTAACCACTTTATACATATGTTGACAGGGATTATTTTTTTCTTCAATTTTTATTTTTATTCTTTTTGTTGTTTTCTGTTGCTTTCAGGGAGGAAATGAAGTAAAAATGCTTTATGCCAGCATCTTTAATTGGAAGCTCCACATTAACTATTTTAAACACACTAAGATTAAAAATAAAACTATTTGATGTAAAAGGTTTTTTGGGGGGGTGGGTAAAGATAAAGAAAAAAGGAATATCCTTATGGTCAAGTTTGTAGATTATCTAACGGGTCTTATTCGATTTTTCTAAACTTTGCCAGCAGACAAAGTTTATTTGAGAACAGACAATTAGCTACATAGAAAATGACTCATCATGTATTATTTGCAAGTGGAAAGAATGAAGCCAACACCAGAAAGATGTCCTGTCTCACTGCCTTATGTATAGTTGACTTGGGGATATGCTGTTTGGAAAAAAGGGAAAAACTCCAAAATGTCTTAATTAAAACTCATCATACAAACTCAGAAAAGATGCATGCAGGAATTACTAAAGCTTAAGTAGTTACACCTGAAGGGGAATAAACATTTTGGCTTTGAAAAATCTACCCGAAGGAAGTGGAAGCTGAGTTATTTTTGAACACAAGATGCCCATCCATGCTCATGTTAGGCAAATTTGCATCATATGATAGGACAGTTTGAGTGGGGTGAATGAAATGAAACAAACCATGAAACTCATTCAGTTGGGTGAACCAACAGTTTCTCAAGCTGAGTCTGCAATCTGTTTGGAGATTAGCTTCATTAATAGAAAGTGACACAGTGGAGTGACATGATCATTTTTCTCCTCTATAGCTGTTTGTTATGATTTAGACACCCTTTTTGTGTGAGATATAAAATTACCTCATAAGGTAAAATGAAATGATGTTATCTTTTTTAAAAAACGTGTAATGGCCATGCTGGTTTCAGCAGCAATGATTGAGCAGCCCATCTGTGAGAGTCAGAAAATCATTATAAATGTCATTAATTGTTCTCCTTTTGATGCCTCTGGGAGGGAACCATGGCGAGATAATCTTACCAGGAGCATGCATTGCTATCTTTTTTTCTTCCTTGTCCACTCTGTGGGCACTTCCTAAGAGAAGAGAGTGTCCTCTCATCTTTTTGAGAACATTCTGTTATGACCTAGGGAAGGATTTGCACTCAGTAGTCAGTTGTTCTGTTAAAGAGGAGCAGCAGCAAGTTCAGCAGCTCTTGTGACTCACCTGCGCAATTAGTGCCCCTGGAGGCATTCCTATGAGTCCATGATCTGTGCATTCTCTGATGACAGACACCAAGGAGATGCCCAAGGCATCTGACTCACACAGGAGGCAGCTGATATAGTGAAATGTGTGACAGCTTGGAGCCGGCCAAACCTATGTTCAAATCAAATGCTCTAGGACATATTACCTCTATAGCCTGGAATGAGTTTTGGAACAATTCTGAGTTCTAGATTACTCAATTAGAATAGAAATCAAATTCATATCTCAATATTTTAATGAAATTAATACATGTATTGAATATCTACTATGTACCAGAGTCAATATGGAGAGATACATTTATTTTTATTTATTCAACAAATAATTATTGAGAATCTATTTTGTGCCGGGCAGTAAAATGAATGCAAAAAAAAAAAAAATGATTGCAGTAAAATGTGATAAATACAAGGAAGGAAGTGATTTTAGGGTTTAGTGAGAGCAAATAGAAGTGTCCACATGACTAGTGTGATCGTCAGGGGACTCACAGAGGGGAGCTGCTGGCACTCAGTTTTGAATGAGGCAGAGAAACATTCCAAGCAGGGAGATGACCAGGCTTCCTAGTGAGTAAGTGATGGTGGGAGACCCAGACCTTAATTTAGGAGCTTTTGGACTCTTAATCTAGTGCTTTCTTTTAGTGCTATATTCTGCATCTTGGTTTGAACTTTAAAAGAATAAATACTAAATTAAAAAGTAAAAGTATTAAGGAAAGAACATGTAAAACCATAAATGGATTAAATGTAAAGAGCCATTTAAAACTTAGGCTTCCAACAGTCTCTCATACCAAGATTGACATTCTGATGCTCTTCTTAAATAATAATATTCAACTTATTTAAAAATTTAATAACAAAGTCTAAACTATGGGAGAGTGGAGGAGAGGTAGAGAGAATGCATTGCATGATAAGAATTATTTAAGTTATTGAGATACTAAACTTTCATTATTATATCAAGGATGAGGTAATGAGATGTTAATCCTTTCAAGATTTAATAGATTTATTATTCTAATGAACTATACCTGACAGCTTTGAACTGTATATAAAAACTTACTAATCTTTTGACAGACATTGAGGGTTTTATTTCTCTCAGTCTAGGTGTATGATTAAAGACTTATGGTTGAGATTGCTCACTGAAATTTTTCTCATGGCATAGTGGAAAACTGAGTATATTTCTCCCTGTCCTCTTGACTCTATTGAATTAAACTGTGGAAATAAAACTTTGTAAAGCAGAAATTAGAGAAGTAATGATGGAGAAGATTAACTGGTGTGTGGGTCCAGTGATAAACAAAATTAAACACAAATGATGGAGGCTTTTATCAGCCTGCTCAGCAGGACTCTGTCTCATTAATTAAACAGCTTTGCTAATTTAACAAAGATGTTCTGAATACCTAGTTTGTGCCAGCAGTGTTGGTGCCAGGGAAACAAAGTTAACCAGGATATAGTTTCTGTCCTTGAGAATCTCAGCATCTAGGCAGCAGCCAGGATGGCTGACTATGGACTCCCAGCTAGGCAAGGTTACGTGGTGAGATGAAGAAGGGACAGGAAAAGGGGCAGAATTAATGGACTGAAAGATGTGGTGTGGTTGAAGAATTGTCAGAGTTAAGACATGACAGAGAGTGAGTAAGAAGACAGAATGTGGTGGTTAGAGGGTAAGATGCTTAAAATAGAAATTCAGAATATTGCGCAATAATTAGTACTGTGAGAGCACTGTTTTTCAGACTTTTTTTGACCATGACTCACATTAGAAAGATATATTGTATACCTCTACCCAGTACACATGTATATAACTGAAACAAAGTTTTATAAAACAATTATTACCCTTACTATAGAAAATGTACTGTGATATTGCCTGTCCTCTTTTATAGATTTTAAGAATTGATTTTATTACTCATTAATAAATTGTCATTCTGCTTGAAAATCACTGGGGATGAGTGGCTGATGAGGGGTCAGACCAACTCATTGACAATGAGAAGATAAAGGAACTCAGAGGCCAGAGTATTAGATGGATTGTTCATGGTTTTGAAATCACCAAGCATCATGATGGGAGTAATAGAAGAGAAAGACAGTGGTCCAGGGGATAGAGTCTTCAATGAATGAGAGGAATTAACCAGGAGGAGAATAGACAATTGCAACAAGGAGGAAGAATGGTGGCTTACAGTCTGATAGAATATTTCAGAGGGGTCAGGAATCTTAGAGAGAAAGGGAAAACATGGTGTGGGAGCAGCTATGAGGAGTGAGAGGCTATTTGTACCATATGTGTGAGAAAAACTTGGCTGTCAATTGGGAATTGTAAGAGAAACAGAGTCATCAGAGAGAGATAGCTTCCAGTTAGAAAAGATGTAAGGAATGTTTAGAGAGAGATTAAAAATAGAGAGGACTCTACTTTCTGGAACTCATAGTCTGTCCTCAGGTTGGAGTATTGAGGAAAGATGGGAGTTTTGTTCAGTTTAGGGGATGAATCAAGCTTCGAGGAAATGAGTCTCAAGAATGAGTCTTAAGCTTTCTATGGTAATTGAGGTAAAAGAAGAGTATTGCATCACAGGCTTCAACATGGTGTTCTCTGGGCAGAGGTTAATCATCCTTCATGAGAAATCTCTTGAACAGTGTGTAGTTTTGAGTCAGGGAGCATTGTGTGGGGTTTATGTCTGATGTTTTAAGAAAGAAGAGGGGAGAGTAGGAGATAAGATACCATGTCTACCCTCTAGGCAAAGACTTAGAAGTTTGGTTAAATGGCAGCCAACAAAAAAATCATAATGTAGCCTGCAAGTGCCATTCACTGTGAAAGAAAATAGAAGAATTAATTTCTCAGAGAAATTGGGAAAGATGTCACAGAGAGGGTGAAATCTAAGTTGTCTTAAATAATGATAGAGTCTTTGCCTAGTTACAAATAGAGAACAGACTAGTTCAGGCAGTGAGAAAAACCTGTCAGAAAGAACAGAGCTATGAAATATATCAGCAAGTGGAGAGAATGGAGGGACATCTGGTCCTATGAAGGAGTTGTGGTTTAGGCTAGCATGGCATTCTGATGGCTTGGTGCCTTTCTCCAGGGAATGGCACAGTCAATTTATATCATTTGCTCTGGTGGGTAGACATGGCTTACACTTGTGAGATTTTACTCAGAGGAGTCTGCAGCCTCCCATGGGAGGGGACCATGGCTGGTTGTCCACACATCCATTCCTAACAAATGACAGTGACAGCCTCAGAGAGAACAAATCATATCTTTGGAATTCCTGAATACCAAGATTAGGAAAAAAAAAACATTTTAGAGTGGTTTTTCCCCGCAATAATTTCATTTGTCATTCATTTTTTTAACAGCATGCATTGAGTAAAGACTAATAAGGAGGAGAAGTATGTGGTTAGGAAAATCCCTGTGGAAAAAGCAGATCTGAGTTTGATCTTGTCACTGGCTTAGTAGGTTGCAGTCCATTTGTGCATTTAAATTAAAATTAATGTAGTGAGTCTGCACTAGCCTTTTAAAAAAAGAATAGAACATACTAGAATAAAAAATATATAATGAAGTAAGGAAAAATATAATTTCCATGATGGACAGGGAGTGTAAATGCTGGAGGGCCAAAACTCTTGGTATTAAGAAGTAGAGGAGATGGTGATCAACTCTAGCCCCATATAGAGGAATAACTGGCATTATGCTTTGAGAGAGGGTATCATGATCCCTCTCTAGAACTCAACATCCTGATGTTTAAGGCCAAGGGTTGGGGTAATCGTTTTGTTTTCTTTCAGTTCTAAAATTCTCTGTTTCTCTTATTTCATCTAGGAAGATGGTTGCAAAGCTCACAGTAGACAGAATGCTAATGTTTATTATTTCACAGTGTATTTTATCTGAAGTTTTCTGTCTCATGGGGTCAGAGAATTAAAATTATTATCCTTATTGCTAATACAATAAAATATTTTTGAAACTAGAGAATCCATTCCTACAGTTATCACAGATCACTGAGTGATAGCTATGTGGTGAAATAATAAATTATATTATCATCTACATTAATAATGAATTACTTAATCAGTTATTTAAAACCTATGTTAAAGTGGAGGGAATTGACTTGATCTCAATAATAAACCAAGGAAGCCTTTTTAGAGCTAAATTAATGCTTTTTAACTGATAATACTTACAGCCTGGCTCAAAGATAACTATGGAACTAGGAAATGACCTGTCTTAGAGGTTTTTAAATTTCTTTCATTAAGTCGCACTCCTGTGTAGAAGCAGGAAACTAGATTGATCATACAATATATTTGTTTTCTCCTAGCTCTATCTTTCTCTTTTCCTGACAGCACATTTATTCATGTGTTATTCATGCTGAGCTTTTTAAATGACCAGCTTCATTTGCAATTTGCTAGAAAGAGGTATTGTGTAACTTCTGATTTTTGAAGGGAAACATTTCCATAGAATGATTAAATGCAAGGTACTACTGATACAGTGTCTAATAACTTTCTGGAGATTAGAGAGAAAGCCATGAGTAGAAAACATGGTTGTCTCTGAGTTTTCAATGTGTATTGTTAAAATAGAAGATTTAGAAAAAAATAATGCTCGATACAAGCTTAGAAGTTGTGGACAGCAGAAGGGAAAAATAGTCTCACTTTATTGTTATCTATTGGAGCTTATCAAGAATAATCAGATAATAAGTTGCAATACTTCTATTAATTTAATAGGTTGGGAGCACATCTACATATCTGTTAGATTAGGATTAAGTTTTTAATGCAAAGCTATAAATAACTATAGTTGTTCTAGACATTGAAAATCATACAAAGGTAATAAAATAGTGCAGAAAATAGGAGCCAGCATTACATGGTTTTTATGACTATGAAAACAAAATGTGTAAAATTCCTAGTTTAAGGTCTAGTACATAGCAGTCACACAGCAAGTGGTGGCTATTAATGTTTATAAAGAGTATTTATTAGTAAGTAGAATCTGTGGCCAAAAAAAAAAAATCTTCGTAGATTTCTCTCTATGTTTCCTTTATTTGGAAATTAGTTAAACTTTAGAAAAGTGGCAAAAATAAGAATGATACAAAGAATGCCAAGGTTCAGAGGAAGATAGTGGACTAGGTAAAAGCAGGGTTCATCTTCTCCCAGGACCGCATTGAAATTACAACCAAACTATAAAATAACCAACGTGGAGAATCAATCACCTGAAGTCCAGCTGATCACAACACCTACATCAGATAATATAAAGGAGCCACAGTGAAGCCTGTAAGAAGGACAAAGTTGCGAATAGGGCTGGACCCGCACCTGCAGGTTGTGGAGGATCGCTGGGAGGAAGAGCGAGGCTGCTGAGGCTCTCCTGAGAGAGACAGGGTTCCTGGTATCATTTGGGGGCTCTCCAGCACAGGATCCCAGCCCAGAGAAGAGGAGATTCCAATAATTCTGACTGAAGAAACTAAAGGGGATCTTGGCCACCTAGGTGAGATGGAAGGAGACTGAAACCCTAGAAGTCCCTTTGAAGGACCTGTGCAAAGGCTTTCTGACCTGCAGACGCTCACCCGGGTTGCCGGTGGTGGGTCAGAGGCTCGCATGAGATTTATTCTGAAAAGGTCTTCAAGCCTGGCATCTGAAAAGGCA